TACGCTAAATCCGATCAATCAATCGTTGCTATCGACCTCAACATCAACACCACGGTCGAACATTCATGGTTCGAAGATCATGTTCTGTATCTGGTGGGACCAAAAGGTCCCTTGTTTACTATGAGCTGCTGAAATCTGGCGATTCTATTATGGGCGATCGGTATCGGCTACAATTGATTCGTTTGAGCCGCGCATTGCGAGAAAAACGGCCGGAATACGAGCAAAAACACGATAAAGTTATTCTTCTTGATGACAACGCTCGGCCTCATGTCGCTAAAGTCGTAAAAAAATATTTGAAAACGCTCAAATGGGATATTTTACCGCACCCGCCGTATTCTCCGGACATTGCTCCTTCTGATTACTGGTTGTTCCGAAGGATGCAGCAAGTCACCGGCTTCTTTCGCAGAAATCGAAAATTGGATCGCCTCCAAAGACGAGTCATTTTTTCGAGATGGAATTTGAAAATTGCCTGGGAAAAAGTAGTAGGCAGCAATAGAAAATACTTTAATTGATCTGTTCATTCATTTTGTTTTGAAATAAATGCACAAAAAAACGGACCGAACTAATTTGTACTCCCAATACTATTTTTTAAAATTATTCTCAGGGTCCCTATATGTTCCACGTACGTAATAATTTGCACATACTTATAAATTAAAGTGATCGAATCGGAGTACCTTCTCCACAAGTCAAAAAAAATAAAACTTTTCAATGTTATCGAATAATTTAACTGTTTCATGTGATATTCACGTTTGGTAAAGAAATTACATGTATTCATTAATTCTCTTTTCTATTATATATAATTTTCTATATTTATAAAACTTGCATAGAATTTTATATTTTCCTATTTGCAAGTGGCACAGCTATGTTTCGTGATAATCCTACGATGTTTTTTTACTGTACGACAATCATCCGACAATGATCGCGGTAGCGGAAATGAATAACGCTCTCTCTCTGCGCAGCAATTCTTTTACGTAAGCGCAATATACAAGCGGAGCAAACGCTATGTATTGTACACCGTACGTCCCTGTTTCCGCTTTCATTTTCGACGTGCGTGTTCACATCGGAGACTAACAGTTGCTGATGAAAGAGTTGGGATTATTTTCTATATATAGTTAACAAACGCGCGTGCGAAAATTTTCTATAACGAAGGTTATCTATGTTTCACCAGTGTCAACTTTATAGTGATCTTTAACGAAGCCGTAGCAGGTACGTAACTGATTCATTTTTTTGCTAGTGGTACATGAATAACTGCAAAAAACTTCTCGTATTATTTTGCATTATATTTGCATTATAATTCTCTACGTTATGATATTCAGACATATTTTAATATAATCATTTAATCAATATACAAATGGTTTTTATTGTCCTTCAAAATAATCCCCTTTATAGACAGTACACTTCTCTGACAACGTTTGTATAGCTTATAGAAACTTTACGAAAAGTCATCTTTGGATATCGCCTTAAGTTTTTGTTGTCAGAGTTTCCGCAAGCTGTCATTGTTAGAACGAACATTGTCAGAAGTGTAATGTCTGTAGAGGGAATTATTTTGAAGGACTATAAAGATTATTTGTATATTAATTAAGAAATATTTACTTTCTCATGATATTCATCGAACTTCTCGTTGCCACGTCACGTATGTTAAATATAATACTACTTTGTATTGTGAAGATGACGCGTGCCTCCGTGTGAAAGCGGTCGAGTAGTAGTCGACAGGTCCCGGATTTGATCTCGACCCTCTTATGCGTTCCATGTATACGTCGGGTTTTATAAAAGATTGAAGATTGTGAGTGAAGGAGTGCGAAATGACTATGCTAACACCTGCTTCGAGAATTCATATATGAAAATGCACTACTCTTTAGTATTAAATGTAAATAGTAAAAAATTCTAGTTTATGCATATTTAATTCAATTATTTGCAAATGTTTGGAGATGCTAATTCCATGTTTTTTTTTTTTTTTTTTTTTTTTAATATTTTCGAGAACCAAGAGGAATAAAACGAATAAACGCATATTATTGTTCAAAAGATTGAGAACTTGTAGTGATATTGAGAATTTGCGGATTTACAAGTTTTACATTATTTGTTCTTCGCTTTCACTTTCGTTTTCTTTCGCATTAATTTTGATTAAGTACTTTAGGAAGCGTTTCTAATTTCTCCTTCAATCAATTGTAGAATATAATATTTATGCAATCATCTTTTAAAATGTGTCACCACTTCCTATATAATATGCCGATCAGGATTTAGTGATGACTTCTCTAATTTATAATTATTTTTTTAGCGAATTTGCGACGATTTATGTATTAAAGTTATGAACGGAGTTATGAACGAAAAAAGTAAGATTTTCATGAACTAAAGAATTTCGAGAATAATTAAAAAATTTTCGATTAAAAGCGAATGGTTTACTTTTAAAAAATTTTAATTAGATACGTGAACGAAAATGCTACAAAAATATATTATGCAAAAAAAGGCAATATAGTAAATATTGATATCTTCCCTAAAAAGAGATTAGACAAGAAATTTGTTATTAAAAGATTAAAATTTGTTATTAAAAACTTTAGCCCATGAATTAAGTAATTTGAAGATAATTTACGAGTATAGAAGACGTAGTAGACTTTTGTATTCTCATTAGCGTTAAATTTACGATTGGAATATGTTTCAAGGTCTGTTTAACACTTTTTGCTTAACGGCTTTCGCATACCGGCGACTTACTCGATGAAAAAGCACTTATGTATAATCGTGTATCGCGAGCTATTATTATACTATAAACTGATAATACTCTGGATGCAATGAAATGACAATTGACATTACCTATGTCTTAGGGGAAAACGTATTGCGTATTAATTTATTGTAATACGAACACATTTTTTGTGATGTTAAAGAAACATGTGAGTTCTTGAGACCCATTACAGTCTTAAAAAAATTCTAAAGTGTTTAACTGTATAAAATATTGCAATATTTAAATACAACATAAATATAATTAATCTATATAAATAGTACCATAATGTAAAAAAATAAGATTGGAAAACATAAAATTGCAAATTATTTTACTATTTAAAAATTAAGAAAATGTCCTAGTAATTTTCTTTTTTTTTATCAAAATTCGTAATTTTAGTTTATGAGTTAATGAAGCTTTACTTTAGAAGATTAAGTTACTTCTTACATAAGATTTTAAAGAAATTTTATTAATTCGTACAGTATTAATTCGAAAAGAGAAAACGAAGATAAATTAAAAAGAAGATACAAAATAAAAGTAAAAATGTCATAAAAATTTATTTTCTTAGAGTATAACTCAGCTGAGTTCTCAATGTACTTTAATAAGCATAAGTATATGTTCGCTATAGAAAGAAGAATAATATAAAGATTGCAGCTCATGCGGCTCTATGTCGCAAATAAATATATATAAGTAGACAGCAAATTCGTTTTCTCCTTCCCTTTCTTAATCTTTTCTTTTCGCTCTTCCTTGCTTTTTTCCCTTCTGCAGGTTCTCATTCTCTTTTTTTTTCTTTTTTTTTAAATTTTTTTATTTTCTTCTTTTCGCGTGCCTTCCTAACATTTCTTCTTTTCAAGAGAACCTTTGATACCAGCGGCTACCCTTCGATGGGGGCTCTGTTCCTTCCTCCCTTTCTTTCTTCTTTTCTTTCTTTTATTCTCTGTTAGTGGCCTTTAATTATATCACCGCTACAATGTTCACCCCACTTGCAACATCCTGCTGTCTCTTCCGAGAAAGAAACATTTTTGCCGTGTCACGTATGCAAAAGCCATGCTTGTGGTGGAGAGCTGCTATTGCTACCGCCGTCGCCGCCTCCATCGTCATCGTCGCCGCCGCCGCCATCGCCGCCGCCGTCGCCTCCGTCGTTGAAGTTCGCGTGATATCGAATCACGCTGCATAGTTTCACGCATCGGCGCGGTAACATTGTGAGTCAGCTTTATTTTTTGTGCGTCCGTCGATTATTACGAAAACAACTACACATTACTCCGATGCTAAGAGAACAAGAAGAACGGATGATCGAGAATTCAACCGCGAAGTCAAGCCGAGCCGATTTCTTCGCGGTAAATTCATGGTAAGATATCTTCTGTCCCCCTTCTCCTTTTTCTCCCGCCACCCTTCTGCCTTCCATCTCTCACCAGTCAACGTCAACTTGGTGTTAGCAGCACGTGGAAATATCGCGTTAATTTCCTGAAAGGAAGGGACTCCTTCCATCTCTCCCCCTCGAGATTCAGCGATCTTAATCGAGATCAATCATGTTGCATAGGCAGATTCTCAGATTAAAAGATGACCAAGAGGGACGTCCTAAATTTCTTTATTTTATTTCTTTGTTTTGATTTCTTCAACTCGCGAAGATAATTATTTAAAAATTCTTAAACAGAAATTTTAAGAGAATTTCATCATTATTCGTTTAGTTAATTACCTTCATTACGAAAGTTATTTTTTTCTGTCTTTTATGTCGACATATCTCATGTATGTCGCTTTTGGAGAAAAGTTTTCAACTTTGCCCCCGTTTTGTAAATTTATTTAACATACCACATTTCTTGTCAGACATTTCTTGTCAGACAAGAAATGTAGTATGTTAAATAAATTTACGAAACGGGGCCAAAGTTGGAAACTTTTCTCTAAAAGCAACATATATGAGATATGTCGACATAAAAAACAAAAAAAAATAACTTTCGTAATGCATAATGATTAGATAACAGGATAAAGAGATAAACAGTCAATGATCATTATAAATGCCGATGATTTTTCCTTAGTAACTAGTAACCTTGTGAACATAGCGACCGTAAAGACGACATCGTAAGGACTCGTGAAGTAAACTCATCAAAGAAGCTATTTGTACAAGTTTACTTGAACTTTCGTGTGATAGAAAACTGCTTTCTTATATATATA